TAGGGAGTTTCGCGCCGAAGCCATAAGCCCCGCCCAGCCCTCGTTAATCCCCCACCCCCCCTTCCCTTAGGCCACGCCCCCCCTCTCCTCAAGCCCCGCCCCCTCAGCACAGTTAAAGAGACCGCGCGGAGTTATTTTTGTTAAAGGAGTAAAAAGTTTTAAGGAGAAAAAAGTACAAAAAAAAGGATCCGAAATTTGGGGTGGGGGGAGGGGGGGGTCGGAGAAGGGGGGTGGGGGAGGAGGTGGGTTTGGATTGGAGCTTGGGGGAAAGAGGGGGGAGGGGTTGGGTGGGGGTCGAGGAGGGATGTTGGGGGGGGGAGGGGCTCGGAGGGGGTATTTGGTTGGGGGGAGAGGGATTCGATGAGGAACTGGGTGGGGGAGGGGGTGTTGGGGGGGGTCCAGGAGGGTTTGGGTGGGGGAGGGGTTGGGGGTCGAGGAGGGATCGGGTGGGGGAGGGGCGCTGAAGTGGAGCTTGGGGGAGGGGCGAGGGGCATTTGGGTGGGTGGGGGAGGGGTCAGGGGGGGTCGAGGAGGTACTGGGTGGGGGGGGAGGGGCGCTGAAGTGGAGCTTGGGGGAAGAGAACGATGGGGGAGGGGTGAGGGCATTTGGGGGGGTGGGGGAGGGGTCGGGGGGGGGTCGAGGAGGTGGTGGGGGGGTGGGGCGCTGAAGTGGAGCTTGGGGGAGGGGCGAGGGGCATTTGGGTGGGGGAGGGGTCGGGGGGGGGTCGAGGAGGTACTGGGTGGGGGGGAGGGGCGCTGAAGTGGAGCTTGGGGGAAGAGAACGATGGGGGAGGGGGTGAGGGCATTTGGGGGGGTGGGGGAGGGGTCGGGGGGGTGGGGGAGGGGCCGTGGTTCACCCCCCTCCCCCGAACACCTTCTGCAGGAGGCTGCGGGGGGGCCGCGCTGGGGGGGGCCGCTTCTTGCGCCCCCAAATCTCCTCCTCGGTGGGGGTTTGGGTGAAGGCCCAGGAGGGGGCTCCGGGGGGGGAGGGGCGGCGGGCGTAGAACCCCCCCTCGCGCTTGGCCTGCGCCACCTCCACCCGCAGGCGCTGGGCCCGGACCTGGCGCTCGTAGCTCAGGCGCTCGCTGAGGTGGGGCCACCGGAACCCGGGCAGGTACTGGGGGGGGAGGGGCACAAACACAATGAGGGATCCCCCTCCCCCACCACCCCTCCCCCATCACATTGGTACAAACCCAAAGGGACTCCCCCTCCCCCCCCTCTCTCTGGCCTTTAGAATGGGTCAAAAAGTGACACACACACACACCCCTCCCCCCCCCCCAATGGGTGTGAAGGGACCCAGCACCCAATGATGCCCCTCCCCCCACCATAGGCACCCACTTAGCCCCAAAAAGGGTGCGTGGGACAGCCCTAAAATAACCGCCATAAGGACACGCCCCCCCCCCCCCCCCCAATTGGGCTCCCCTCTCCCCCCTCCCCCATAGACACCCATTACACCCCCCAGTAAGCACCCAACCCCCCCCATAGACACCCATTACCCCCCATAGACACCCATTACCCCCATAGACAACCATTACCCCCCATAGACACCCATTACCCCCATAGACAACCATTACCCCCCATAGACACCCATTACCCCCATAGACACCCATTACCCCCCATAGACACCCATTACCCCCCACAGACACCCATTACCCCCCATAGACACCCATTACCCCCCACAGACACCCATTACCCCCCCACAGACACCCATTACCCCCCATAGACACCCATTACCCCCCCATAGAGCACCCATAGACACCCATTACCCCCATAGACACCCATTACCCCCATAGACACCCATTAACCCCCCATAGACACCCATTACCCCCACAGACACCCATTACCCCCCCACAGACACCCATTACCCCCCATAGACACCCATTATCCCCCCATAGACACCCATTAACCCCCCCATAGACACCCATTACCCCCCTATAGACACCCATTACCCCCATAGACACCCATTACCCCCATAGACACCCATTACCCCCATAGACACCCATTAACCCCCATAGACACCCATTACCCCCCCATAGACACCCATTACCCCCATAGAGCACCCATTACCCCCCATAGAGCACCCATTACCCCCATAGACACCCATTTATCCCCATAGACACCCATTAACCCCCCATAGACACCCGTTACCCCCATAGAGCACCCATTACCCCCCATAGAGCACCCTTTACCCCCCCCCAGACACCCATTACCCCCATAGACACCCATTAACCCCCCATAGACACCCATTAACCCCACAGACACCCATTACCCCCCATAGAGCACCCATAGACACCCATTACCCCCATAGACACCCATTACCCCCACAGACACCCATTACCCCCATAGACACCCATTACCCCCCCATAGAGCACCCATAGACACCCATTACCCCCCCCCGGTACCTTGATGCTCCAGCAGTGGTGCCGGAAGCGGCTGCGGGGCCGGGGGCTCATGGGGGCTCCGTGCAGGATCGAGGCCGCCCTCTTGGCCGCCCGCTTGTCCCGGAATTCCACCCAGCCCTCGGCAAAGGAGCCCCCGGGGGGGCCCGGGCGCTGCCTCCTCCGGCGCACGCCCCCCCCTGCGGGACCGGCACCCAGCGGGGTCAGCATCACCCGATGGGGCTCAGCATCACCCTATGGGGGCTCTGCATCACCCTATGGGGGCTCTGCATCACCCTATGGGGGCTCTGCATCACCCTATGGGGGCTCTGCATCATCCTATGGGGCTGAGCATCACCCTGTGGGGGCTCTGCATCACCCTATGGGGCTCAGCATCACCCGATGGGGCTCAGCATCACCCTGTGGGGGCTCAGCATCACCCTATGGGGGCTCTGCAGGGTGCTATGGGGGCTGAGCATCACCCGATGGGGCTGAGCATCACCCTATGGGGGCTCAGCATCACCCAATGGGGGCTCAGCATCACCCTATGGGGCTCAGCATCACCCTATGGGGGCTCTGCAGGGTGCTATGGGGGCTGAGCATCACCCAATGGGGGCTCTGCAGGGTCCTAAGGGTGCTCAGCATCACCCTATGGGGCTGAGCATCACCCTAAGGGGGCTCAACATCACCCTATGGGGGCTCTGCAGGGTGCTATGGGGCCTGAGCATCACCTTTTGGCGGCTCTGCAGGGTCCTAAGGGTGCTCAGCATCACCCTATGGGGGCTCAGCATCACCCTATGGGGGCTCTGCAGCACCCTAATGGTGCTCAGCAGTGTACTATAGGTGCTCAGCAGCACCCCACACCCACAGTCAATGTCACCTCAGTACTGGGGCTTATAGGGGGTCTATGGGCCCCTTGACCCCCAAATGATCCCACTATGACCCCAACTGAGACCTCCCTGTGGGCACCGTGACCCAAAACTGCCCCTGCTATGAGACCCTGACCCCCAGTTGACCCCTCTATGGGCACCCTGACCCCCACCCATGAGCATTTCCCCCTATGGGTGTTACCTATCAGGGTGCTCTCACCCTCATTTCTGGACCTATAAGGGCTCCATTGGGCATCCTGACCCCTAAATGAGCCCCTATGAGCACCCTGCCCCCCACCCATGACTGCCCCCCCCCATGGGTGTTACCTGGCCCCATAGAGACCCCATAGAGCCCCCCCCCAGTGGGTGCTCACCTTTGGGCTGCAGGAAAACCCTGCCCAGCTCCCCATGGACCCCCAGCAGCACCCGGGCCTGGCGGGGCCCGAAGCCGGGGGGCAGGAAGGAAAGGTAGAGCACCCCCGGGACCGGGCGCCGTGGGGCAGGGGGGTCCCCAATGCTACCGGCCCCCCCCTCTGCTTCCTCTTCCTTCTCCTCTTCCTTCTCTCTTCCTCTTCCTTCTCCTCTTCCTCTTCCTTCTTCTCCTCCTCTTCCTCCTCTTGGGAGGGGGTCTCCGACTCGGCCTCAGCCATTGGCCCTATAGAGGGGAGGAAGGGGTTAAAAAACGGGGGGGGGGGGGGGGGTAACACCCCAACACCCCTCCCACCCCCAAGACCCTGAATGGGCTCCTCTGGACCCCCCCATTAGCTCCTATTGGGGGGTCCCTGCACCCCAAACCCCCATAGGGCCCCCCCCCCATGAGCTTCTATTGGAGGTCCCCACACCACAACCCCCCATAGGGCACCTCTGGACCCCCTCATTAGTTCCTGTGGGGGGTCCCCATGCCCCAAACACCCCCAGACCCCCATAGAGCACCTCTGGACCCCCCCCCCCCATGAGCTTCTATTGGGGGTCCCCACACCACAACCCCCCATAGGGCACCTCTGGACCCCCTCATTAGCTCCTATGGGGGGTCCCCACATCTCACCCCCCCACAAACCCCCATAGGGCACCCCTGGACCCCTCCATTAGCTCCTATGGGGGGTCCCCATGCCCCAAACACCCCCAGACCCCCATAGGGCACCTCTGGACCCCCCCATTAGCTTCTATTGGGGGTCCCCACACCACAACTCCCCATAGGGCACCCCTGGACCCCTCCATTAGCTCCTAGGGGGGGTCCCCATGCCCCAAACACCCCCAGACCCCCATAGGGCACCTCTGGACCTCCCCATTAGTTCCTGGGGGGGGGTCCCCACACACCCCCTCCCCAAGACCCCATAGGGTACCCCTGGACTCCTCCATTAGCTCCTATGGGGGGTTCCCATACCCCAAACCGCCACATGGCACCTCTGGACCCCCCCCCCCCCCCACATTGCCTCCTATGGGGGGGTCCCCATGCCCCAAACCCACATAGGGCACCCCTGGACCCCTCCATTGTCTCCTATGGGGGGGTCCCCAGCCCCCAAACCGCCCCAGGACCCCCAAATCGCCCCCCCCACGCTCCGCACCTTGGCAACAGCGCTCCCGTCGGTCGTAAAGAGGAGGAAAAGTCGCAAAGCGTCGCCGAAAGGAGTCGCAAAAGGCGGGGAAAAGCCGGGGGGGGGCGTGGCTAATGAGGAAAGGGGCGTGGTTAGAGGAAGCGCGGTTAAGGGAGGCGTGGTTAAGGGTAGGAAACGCCTCTCATTGGTGGCGGTGCAATCGGGGGCGTGGATAAGGCACGGCGGGGGCGCGGTTAAGGGCTGGGGGCGGGGTTAAGGGTCCAGTGGCGACTGTGATTGGTGGGGATGGGGTTGGGGGCGTGGCTTAGCGGCGGCTGGGGGCGTGGCCTCGCCGGTTCTGGCGGGAAGCGGCGTTTGCGCCCGTTCCAAACGGCCGCGGGCGGCGGCGGCGGCGGCGGCTCCCGAGGCTCCGCGCGCAGCAGGCTCGTGCCCCGCCCCCTCCCCCCCTTGGCCCCGCCCCCTCGCCCCTTGGCCCCTCCCACCCCGGTGTCCCCTTAAACACCCCCTCCCCCCCCCAATGCCCCCCCCCCCCCCCCCCATGGCCCCTTCATGTCCCATTAAAGTGCGTTACCCCCCCCGCCCCCAGGGTCCCTTCGTGTCCCATTAAGCCGCCCCCCCCCAGGCCCCCCCAGTATCCTCCTCGTCCCCTCATGTCCCTTAAGCTCCCCCATAACCCCCTTTAACCCCCCCATAGCCACTTAAACCCCCCATATCCCCTTATACCCCACTTAACCCCCTTAGACCCCCCCATATCCCCTTAGACCCCCCCATGCCCCCTTTAATCCCTCCATACCCCTTAGATCCCCCATAACCGCTTAGACCCCCCCATAACCCCCTTTAACCCCCCCATATCCCCTTAAACCCCCCATATCCCCTTATACACCCCATAACCCCCTTTAACCCCCCATAACCCCCTTAGAACCCCCCATAACCCCCTTAGACCCCCCCATATCCCCTTAGACCCCACATAACCCCTTAGACCCCCCTTTAACCCCCCCATATCCCCCTTAACCCCCATAGCCCCTTAGACCCCCCATAACCCCTTAGACCCCCCCCAACCCCCTTTAACCCCCCCATATCCCCCTTAACCCCCATAACCCCTTAGACCCCCCCATAACCCCCTTTAACCCCCCCATATCCCCCTTAACCCCCATATCCCCTTAGACCCCCCATAACCCCTTAGACCCCCCCATAACCCCCTTTAACCCCCCCCATATCCCCCTTAACCCCCATAACCCCTTAGACCCCCCCATAACCCCCCTTTAACCCCCCCATATCCCCCTTAACCCCCATAGCCCCTTAGACCCCCCCATAGCCTCCTCTTGCCCCCCCCCCCCCCCAGCTGCAGCCGAGCAGCCGGATTATCCCCTCCCCCCCCCATCCCCCCTAATCCAGCTGCGGGGGGGGGGGGGTGTGAAGGGATTTGGGCCCCCCCAACCCCCCCTTTGGGCTCAACCACTTGGGGGGGGGGGGAAATCACCCATCCTATAGGCACCAGATGTCCCTTGAGCCATGGGGGTGGGGTCCCTGCCCCATAGGGTGCCACTCTCCTCCCCATAGGATGCTCTCCCTGCCCCATAGGGTGCCACTCTCCTCCCCATAGGATGCTCTCCCTGCCCCATAGGGTGCCACTCTCCTCCCCATAGGATGCTCTCCCTGCCCCATAGGGTGCTATTCCTTCCCCATAGGATGCTATCCCTGTCCCATAGGGTGCCACTCTCCTCCCCATAGGGTGCTATCCCTCCCCCATAGGATGCCACTCCCCTCCCCATAGGGTGCTATCCCTGCCCCATAGGGTGCCACTCTTGTCCCCATCGGGTGCTCTCCCTGCCCCATAGGATGCTATTCCTTCCCCATAGGGTGCCACTCCCCTCCCCATAGGGCGCTCTCCCTGCCCCATAGGGTGCCACTCCCCTCCCCATAGGGCGCTCTCCCTGCCCCATAGGGTGCCACTCCCCTCCCCATAGGGCGCTCTCCCTGTCCCATAGGGTGCCACTCCCCTCCCCATAGGGCGCTCTCCCTGCCCCATAGGGTGCCACTCCACAGTGCCCCCCCCCAACCCCTCTTCTTCTCCCCCCCCCCCCCCCTTCCCCAACAGCCCAGGACCATGCTGCAGCTCCTGCTCCCCTTGAGCACCCTATGGGGCCCCATCCTGCCTGCCCCATCGCCCACCCAGCCCCACGGCATCCGCTTGGAAGGGGACCTGACGCTGGGGGGCCTCTTCCCCGTGCACGCCCGGGGCCCCGCGGGGGTGCCCTGCGGCCCCATCAAGAAGGAGAAGGGCATCCATCGCCTGGAGGCCATGCTCTACGCCCTGGACCGCGTCAACGGGGACCCCACGGTGCTGCCCAACCTCACGCTGGGCGCCCGCATCCTGGATACCTGCTCCCGGGACACCTACGCCTTGGAGCAGGCGCTCGGCTTCGTCCGCAGCCTCCTGCCGCCGGCCGAAGGCGAAGGGCGATGCGCCGACGGGAGCCCCCCCCGCCGGCCTCCCCCCGAGCGCCTCGTGGGGGTCATCGGCGCCTCGGCAAGCTCCGTCTCCATCATGGTGGCCAACGTGCTGCGGCTCTTCAACGTGAGTGGGCTGGGGCGGCGGCGGGGCAAGATCCAGCTCCGTCGTGGTGGTCAAGGGGGTTCCATCACCATCTGTGTCCATCGTGGTGGTCAAGGGGGCTCCATCACCATCTGTGTCCATCGTGGTAGCCAATATGTTGGTCAATGGATCTCCATCATGGTGGTCAATGTGGCTCCATCATAGTGGTCAAGGAGGCTCCATCGTGGTGGTCAAGGTGTCTCCATCATAGTGGTCAAGGTGTCTCCATCATAGTGGTCAATGGATCTCCATCATGGTGGTCAAGGGGGCTCCATCACCACCTGTGTCCATCGTGGTGGTCAAGGAGGCTCCATCATGGTGGTCAATGTGGCTCCATCATAGTGATCAAGGTGTCTCCATCATAGTGATCAAGGTGTCTCCATCACCATCTGTGTCCATCGTGGTGGTCAAGGGGGCTCCATCACCATCTGTGTCCATCGTGGTGGTCAAGGAGGCTCCATCATGGTGGTCAATGTGGCTCCATCATAGTGATCAAGGTGTCTCCATCATAGTGATCAAGGTGTCTCCATCACCATCTGTGTCCATCATGGTGGCCAATATGTTGGTCAATGGACCTCCATCATGGTGGTCAATGTGGCTCCATCATAGTGGTCAAGGTGTCTCCATCGTGGTGGTCAAGGTGTCTCCATCATAGTGATCAAGGTGTCTCCATCACCATCTGTGTCCATCGTGGTGGCCAATATGTTGGTCAATGGATCTCCATCATGGTGGTCAAGGTGTCTCCATCATAGTGATCAAGGTGTCTCCATCATAGTGGTCAAGGTGTCTCCATCATGGTGATCAAGGTGTTTCCATCATGGTGGCCAATATGTTGGCCAATGGATCTCCATCATGGTGGTCAAGGTGTCTCCATCATAGTGATCAAGGTGTCTCCATCGTGGTGGTCAAGGTGTCTCCATCATGGTGATCAAGGTGTTTCCATCGTTGTGGCCAATATGTTGGCCAATGGATCTCCATCATGGTGGTCAAGGTGTCTCTGTTCATCATGGTGGCCAATATGTTGGCCAGTGTATCTCCATCACGGTGGTCAATGGATCTCCATCATGGTGGTCAAGGCATCCCCATCATAGTGGTCAATGTGGCTCCATGTCCATCTGTGTCCATCATGGTAGCAAATATGTCTCCATCATGGTGGCCAAGGTGTCTCCATCATAGTGTTCAATGTGGCTCCATGTCCATCTGTGTCCATCATGGTGCCAATGTGTCTCTGTTCATCTCCATCGTGGTGGCCAATGGATCTCCATCATGGTGGTCAAGGTGTCTCTGTCGTGGTGGCCAATGTGTCTCTGTTCATCATGGTGGCCAATATGTTGGCCAGTGTATCTCCATCACGGTGGTCAATGGATCTCCATCATGGTGGTCAAGGTGTCTCCATCATAGTGGTCAATGTGTCGCCATTGTGGTGGTCAAGGTGGCTTCATCACCGTATGTGTCCGTCATGGTGGCCAAGGTATCTCCATCACGGTGGCCAATGTAT